GGAGGTCAGGGGCCTGACTCCCGGGGATGCAGGGTGGGGAGGTGTATCAGGGAGGACTTCGCTCCGATCACATTCTGGGCAGAACAGCTCAGAAACTATCCCTGTCACATGTCCTGGACCCCAGTTTGCACACCTTTAAAGTGGGGTCCATGGTGAGCTCCAGGGTGGCCCTAGCCTTGGATAAAAGGTGTGGTAGCACTCGCCTGTAATCACAGCACCTGGGAGACTGAGGTAGGAGGATGCTGCAAGTTCAAGGCCAGCCTGGATTACATTGTGAGTTTAAGCTGAGGTTGAACAACACAGAGAGACCCTGTTTAAAAGAAGTGGGGGTGGCTGGCCAGGGATTTAGGTCAGTGGTGCTGCTGCCTGACTTGCAAGTGTAAAGTCCTGAGTTTGATCCCGGGTACCAAAAAAAGTGGGGGGGCTGGATTCATAGCCCTTTGTTTTTTTGTTTTTTTTTTAATTTAGTTTTTTGGGGACAGAGTCTGCTATGTAGTTCAGGCTGGCCTTGAACTAACTCACAGTGACCCTCCTGCCTCAGCCTCCTGAGTGCTGGGATCACTGGCATGTGCCACTGTGCTCAGCTGAACTTTGTTAAATACTCCTATGGGCCATTATAATGGTTAGGGGTGGAGAAGGATTTGTCATCTGGGAATCTTCCCCTTTTCTTGTTTGTTTTTGTGGGCCAAACTCAGGACCTTGCTCTTGCAAGGCAGGCAAAGTGCCCCTGAGCTAAATCCCTGGCCCTGTCTTCCCCTTCACTCTAAGGTGGTCTCTGATTTTTTTACTTTTCCTGCAGATTATCAACTTCGGACCAGCTAGGAAGGACAAGAAGCGGGGCCTGGAACTAGGAACTCTCTCTCCCCAGACCACAGAGTGTAGCGTGCGGAGGGGCGGACAGGGCGCGCACTCGCCCATTTATGCAGCTGCCCCTTGCTGGATCCTTCTTCCGGCTTCAGCCCCTTCCGGCTTCTCCACCGCTGTAGGCTGGGATGGTCTCTGTCTCCCTCGCTCCTGGGGCTCCCAACCCCAATTTTATATGAAGAAATAACAGAGGGGCTTGAAGCCCCCCTCACGAGTGCCTTCCTGCAGTGACTGCCTTAGGGGGTTCAGGCCTCCTCCTTCATGGCCGCTGAGCCCACCCCTGTTTTAGGGCGTCAGTAAAACGATAGATCTGGCCACTCTGAATGTGTTCTTGGCAGGGGCTGGGGATGCCGGGGATGCCCTGCCAGTGAGGTGTCCACTCACCCCATGACCCTTACTTAGCTCCTCTGTGCTCCCCTGGGCCAGGTCAGGCATCTGCACTTGGTCCCCTCTCCAGCCTCCACTTCCCCACCACTGAACCTTCCCTCCATGTGGGCGACTTAATTGTAATGCATTGCAGTGGCCCAAACCCTCTCTCCCCGCGGTTCCCATCTAGTTAAAAAGTTACTGGGCCGGGAATTTAGCTCAGGGGCGCCTCCACCTGCCACCACCTGCCTCGCAAAAGCAAGGTCTCTGGTACCAAAAAAGTAAAAGTCACTGTCATCCCACTGGCCCAGGAGCTGCACAACCCCACCGTACCCCCCCACACCTCCTTGTCCTCCCGGCCTTTCATTCTCCCTTGCAAAATCATACCAGGCTCACTGCTACTGCAGGGCCTTTGCATGTGCTGCTCTCTAGAGATTTTCCTCTCCAGATCCGCCCAGGCTCCCTTCCCACCTTCAGACTTTAGATTACACCTCTTCAGGGAGGCCTTCCCCGTGGCTTCGCTTTCCCAAGGTACCGTCACCTGTCCTATCAGCCGCCCTAGCCTTAATCGCTGGGCAAAGGTGTACTCGGTACCCGCCCCCCCGGGCAGTCGGGGGCTCCCAGGCAGCGCTCAGCCAAGATTTGAATGAAACCCAGGTTTGTCGCCACCGAAGGTTCCAGGCTGGCACAGCCCACGTGGCGGCTCCCGGTTCAGCTCTCGCCCTTGCCGGGGCCGTTTCGGTGTAAGCCGGAGCTGGATTCTTTTCTCGCTCATCCTATTCTCCTGTTTTCGTGGCGCTGAATTCTCTCTAAATGACTCAGCTATCAGGATGTGCGCTGCTGCGCATCCAGGACGCTTCCTGTGCACAATGGGTGAATGAATGAAAGAAAGCGCTTAGCACTCCCGAAGGGATAATAAATGCTCCTCGGGTGAAAGAATATTAGATCCCGCCGGGGATTTAGCTCTGTGACAACACGTCTGCCTTGCAAGCGCAAAGTCCTGAGTTCAATCCCCGGTATTGGGAAGGGGGGGAAGATCCCCAGACTGGGAAGCTCCAGCCTGCTTCCCTTCCCCCAGGAAGCGCCGAAGTCTCTGCGTAGCCCGCGCTATCCTGTTCCCCGGCCTTTCTCCGGCGGGTCAGTTAAACCCTCTCTTTCCCGCCCGCCGAGCGGGTTTGAAAACCGAAAACCCCGCCAGCGCTGGCGGTCCACCGGTCGCCCGAGTTCTACCCAATCAGGAGCGACACCGCCCACGCCAGCGAGCGAAACC